TTCAATCCCATAAATCAAGCCAATCACCCCTTTAATGCATTGGTCCGTTGGAGCCTATTTTGGCACTATAAAAAGGGGTGTTTGGGTCTGCTTTACATATCAATTCACTTCACAATATTCATACTTTCATTGCATTCAAATAACATCATTTTCCATAGCTTTCTAGAGCCAATTTGTGTGAAGTTTGAGTTGTTCTTGAGCGTATATATTTTACTCATATCCACTCTTAAGGAGAGTCTTGTTCTTGAGTGTCTTAGTGTTGTATACACGTTAAGGGAAGCTTGTTTCCCTTGGTTGTACGAAGGAAAGGTATTTTCCTTCAGTTTGAAGTCTTGGAGTGCGGTATCTCCCAGCAAGGTTGTTGAGGCTCGTGGGACTCGAGTTCTCAGGTTGTAACGGTTTGTTAAGCACCCGTAAGCTTAACGGAAGTAGTGTAGCTCGAGAGAGTCTCTCGGGAGACTGGATTAGCCACACGTTGTGGTGAACCAGTATAAATCTTGGTGTGCTCCCTTTACGCTTTCTACGCTCTTTACTTTTCACGTTCTTAATTTTTTATTTCTGCGATTTCTACGATCAAACGCTATTCACCCCCCCTCTAGCGTTGGTCACTTATTCTAACAGGCTTCAGGTCACTTCGGGACAATCCCAACTCCTTAAAGGTGTTGCTGTACATTATGTTGACCGAGCTGCCCGTATCGACCAAGGTTCGGTGAACAACCACATTATTGATCTCCACTCTTATCACCAGAGCGTCCCTGTGAGGACTGAGGACTGGGGGATAATCCTCGTCTGTAAAGATCAGAGGTTCTTTCTTCTTTCGCTTAGGCAGCAGTGGCCTTTGTACCTCGGCCAGGTACACCATGTTTTTCCACTTCTTCCGGGAGGATACCGAATCTCCTCCAGTGTTTCCTCCCATGATGAACCGGCACCCCAGGTGTCGGCGACCTTGCCTCTCCTCCTCATCTAGGTCATCACAATCTCGCCCTAGGTGTCGCCGTCCATCTTCTTGCCCCTCTCCTGCTGTGATCGCTGCCGTGGGGGCTGGCGGTCTCCTCCAGGTCCGGTTACTTGTGGACGGTCGCTCCGACCGAGGAGGTGGCCCTCTAGCGATCAGCTGATCCATCTCCTTCTTCAGCGTAACGCACTCCAACGTGTTATGGGTGCTGTTACGGTGGTACTCGCAGTATTTGGGTGCATCTTGCACACCATAGCTTTCCCAACCATGAGGAGGGGCCGGCAACGACTGTACCGCATGGACGGGATGCCTGCTCGCATGATACCCGGTGGGGTTCGGCCCCTTACCATAATCCTTCCTTTTCTTCCCTTCTGCCACCGGTGGCCCGCTTTTCTTCTCCTTCCGGACTGGTGGCTCATCATCTTCCTCTTCCAGCGCCAGGTACTTCGCCCTGGCCAACATCTCTTGATAGGTCGAGAGAGGATTCCGTCGCAGCTCCTTACGCACATCCCCTTGGGGGAGTGTAGCTTGGAGCATGGCGATTAGGGCTTGGTCGTCCGCCCCTTGGACATCCCTAGCCTCCTTCTCCCACCTATTGATGAACTCCCGGAGCTGTTCCCCCTTCCGGATCTTCACATGGAGCAAATGCGAGAAGGGGAGCTTTTGTCTCCGGCTGGATGCGAAGTGCTCCAAGAACTTGTGGGCCAGGTCGCCCCACTTATCTATCGACCCCTTGGGTAACTTGTGAAACCACTCACAAGCCGGCCCTTCCAGTGTCGCCAGGAAACACCGACACTTGATTTCTTCTGGATATGCGTACATGACCACGTTGGCCCCGAAGCGAGCGAGGTGGTCTTGAGGATCGGTCCTCCCGTTGTATGCCTTGATCTGGGGAGTCTTGAAATTATCTGGGAGGGGGCAGGACATTATCCTTTTGGAGAAGGGCGTTACCTCACTGAAGACCGCCTGGCGATAGGGGTTCTGGGCATCCAGCCGCTTCTCCAGTTGTTCGTACATTTTCCACAGCTCGGCTGCGCCCTTATCCCCGACTGCTATCCGTCGCTCCTCAGACCCGACCTTGGAGGTCGCTGTGGATTCCCCTCTCTTCTCCTTGAGCGCGTCTCTCAAGTCGCCTTTTCGGGCCGACCGAGTGTCCTGCAGCCTTTCGAACGCAGAGGTCCGAGGTTTCTACGACTTGGGATCTCCGAAGCGGTCAAAAGCAGACATCCGCTCGAAGGAGGACGACTCGTCCTCTTCTTCCAGCTTGGAAAGCGCATCTGCCATTATAGCCTTCCCATTAGGCTTGGTCGCCTTCTTCTTCTAGGACCGCCTCACTTTCTTCTTTTTCCCTTGGGAGCCCGCAGGTCCAGCCTTCTCGCCTATGGGTCCCCCAGCCACATCTCCTACCACATCAAAATTTGTGAACATCACCAAGATGGCAAGGTCTGGATCTGCATTCCAGAAGGAAACCAAGGGAATGGCCTAATCTCTTTTACTGCCTTTTTCAGAAATGCCCTTGACTCTCTTAAACTCTCAATCCCCCCTCCACCCCCATTTGTGGAGAGAGCAACTGTGTGTTTTTCTACCCCTGACCCACCACTATTTTCATCTTATTCAATTTCCTCCCTCCTTCTCAATTTGGATATCCCAGGAGACTTTGCCCACACACCTTTTCAATTCACTCATGCCACTCCTACCTCGCTCATCTGTCATAAGGAACCAAAACAGCTAGCTGTTGCACACCCAACCCCTTCAGTTCCGGTTCCCCTTACCTCTCTTTGTCCAATAGCACAACCTTTCATCCCTCGAGCAAAGGATTGCACTCAGCAGATGGCCATAACCTCTAAACCACCTCACTTTCTAGGATGTTCCAAGTCAGATAATGACTTGGAAAACTCTGAGTGGAGCAAAAATTTGAGTTACAACTCAGGATCAGAAAGGCAGGTTTTGATTAAATCTTATAAGCCCCTTTTAAATGCATCAGAAGATGAGTGGGTGGCAGATAGAAGATCAGAGGATGACCTAGATTGGCATACTAGAAAAGAAGCTACTATGAAGAGAAATCAGAGGAAATTTGAGGATTTATGTTCACAATTCAAGAACTCCCCCAAACCAAGAAGAGCAAGAGGCTATCAGATCTCAAATCAAGCTTAACTCAAGAGAAAGGTTTGCTTTAAAGTGCCTGTTAATTCACATATCAGGCTTGCTTGATATCAGTTCATTATTTTCTTATTTTCTTGAAGTTTACGTATGGCCTATCATGATGTTTGGGTATATCTGTGCTTAAGACACTTAACTCATCTCTAGTGGTTGTCAATCTATAATTCTTTTTCTTTGTTTGGGATTAGACATGAGTTTTTTGCTCTACTAAGCCTTCAACATTAGTATTGAAGGGTATTCAGGATTTTCTTCAATCCCAGCATCTCCAATAATCATGCTTGGAATGAGATATTGTACTAGATGCAACAGACCTAGTCCAACATCTTACTCTTGTTTGATGGAGCTTTGCTTGGATGCAATTTGAAGGTAGTACCTGTCAACTATGGAAATATGGAATGCATTGCTGTATTTTTTTGGCTGTTGGCATTTGTCTCCTTCAAGGACAATGTTCAGAATCTTTCTGATGCCATACACCCCCCTTTTTATTATTGCACACTTTTTTATCAGTTGGGCCAACATGTTTTGGCCACTTTCTCTTTACATTTTATTGTTTAACCTCCATGTTAGGTCAGAATTGTACTCCAAACTAGTGTGTTGGGCAGTACTCAATCTGCCATGTATCTTTTCTTCTTCTTTTATTAATAAAAATATGTTTTAAATATATATATATATATATATATATATATATATATATATATATATATATATATATATATATATATATAAACCTCTTACCAAACCCCTAACCAAAACGCAAAAAAAGAAATTGAAGAAGAAAAAAAAGCAGTCACAGTTTTCTGCATATGGTTTTGAGGAACATATAGAATATGCTTATTGATTATCTCTTCATACTGTTTTTTCCGTTAGCTGCCTTCTTTTAGTTACTGCCTTAATTTCGAAGTCAGTGAGTTGGAGTTGAAGATCAGAGCACCTGTTTTGCATCTCTCAACACTGCCATATCCCTTATCTTAGGGTATTCGGCTAGTCTCTGGGGAGCTAACACAGTTGTGTTAGGAATCCACTTCTGTTTGGATGGAGGTACAAAGTAAAACAAAAGAGATGGGGAAAAATGCACATGTTGATGGAAGATAATTGAGGACAAGGGACCTGTGGAATTGTACTACGCTGTTTGGAGCTTTTGCCTGGTCTTTCACTAAACTGCACAGATTACACACTCCTTGGTGTGGAAATTATAACAAGCCGTATAATTGGAGCCCCTTTGGAATTTTGGAAGTTTCTTTTTGTCTAGTTTATTTAGCTTATGGTACCTGTTTCTATTTCCTTTCCTACATTTACTCTGGCCGAAGTGTAGGGCAACTGGCCACCCCACTTGTACTTTTCTTTCTTCTTCTCTATTATTAATAAATTTCCTTTATTAATATATATATATATATATATATATATATATATATATATATATATATATATATAGCAGTACAGGACTCATACTGCTATACTCATATATAACAGTATGAGTAGACTCATACTCAATAAAACATGTCCTTAGTGCTATCCCCTTGCATACTATAGCAGTACAGGACCTACCTAAGTCTATCATCAACTTGATTCACTCTAAATTGGCAAATTTCTTCTGGGGAACTAAAAATGGTAAATACAAGCATCATTGGGCTAAATGGACCACTCTATGCAAACCCACTGGTGAGGGAGGGATAGGTACCAGAAGCTTATTTGACATTCAAAAAGCCTCAGCCTTGAAGCTTTGGTGGAAGTCAGTTAGAGAGCAATCTATTTGGGCCTCCTTTATGAGGGACAAGTACTATAGGGATGGTCTTTTCGAAGCCAAATTATATGACTCTTCCTCCTGGAAGAGAATTTGCAGAATTTCTCACAAAGGTCTCCAGAATACTACCGTGTCCAATCACACCTACAGTTGGATCAATGGAGAATTCACATTCAAAGAGGCTTACTGGGCAGTAAGGGAAAGGAATATCAGTGAGCAGCTTTTCACCCTTAACTCGAACAAATTCCAGATTCCTAAGGTTAAGCTTTTCACTTGGAAAGCTTTGAACCAATTTCACCCTTTTCCCAATATTTTCAACAAACTGAATTTTAACCTGCCTAGTAAGTGCTTATTATGTGGCAAGGCTGAAGCTACGGATAAGCACACGCTACTTACCTGTGAGATGGCACAAAGCATCTGGAAAGCCTTTGCAGACTACATCGGAGGACCAGTTTGGAATCAAGAAACAGAGCTAAGGGATTACCTTCTACAATGGTGGGTCACTTTTAAAAAAACATCTCTCCATGGTCTACTCAAGCTAATCCTTCCTGGATGTATACTATGGATCTTATGGAAGACTTACAATAGATGCATTTATGAGGATCACAAACCATCTTATGAAATCCAAAAACTAATTCAACACTAGTTTTGGTCGAACAAAAAAGCTCAGACCATTGCTATTAAGGAAGATATTGAAGCATTGAACCTCAAACCCTACCTTGCCAAAGAACATTGCAAAGAAAGAAGACACACCTGTTAGTCTCTTCATCAACTCATCGAACGAGATGTGGGGTTGGAAGTTGACGTAGAGGGACAGAAGAATTTCCTCTTTTGTCTCATCTACCTTTACTTCTTATTTTGTTGTTTTTGGCTTTTTCTTTCGAGGATTCGGTTTAGTCCTCCCCGAACTTGTATTCATTCTTACTTTCGGGGCTCTAGTCTAGTCCTCCTCGAACGTGTACTTACTCGACTTTAATGATATTGGTAAGGGCGGCCTGGACCTTACCCCACTAACTTTGGTGGAGTTTTCGGGCAATATATATATATATATATATATATATATATATAGACACACACACACACACACACACACACACGAATGGCTATTTCTCTCTCTACTTTTCCGGCGACTGGCCAACCACCAGCGGCCATATCCTCACACCACTCCCTAGGCGGCAAAACCCTCTTCTCCGAACTCTTCAAGGGTGATGAGGTGTGTATCCCCGGTAAGCTTTGTGGTCTTTATCGAGCAGCCCCCTCAGTCTAGTTCACGGCAAAAGAAGAGTCACGCCTTGCCGGCAACTTCAGTCATGCAGTCATTGGAAGGTGCAGCAAGATTATCCACATGCAAGACGTTGAAGAGTTCCTCAATAAGGGGGGATTTAAGGAGTTCAAACTTAGAAGACTGAAATCACAAGAGATTCTCTTCATTTTCAAAAGGAAGGAAGATTACCTAAGATGGTTTCACCGGCGCAAATGGAACATAAAATCCTCAACAATCACCCTTTGCAAATGGTCTGTTGACTACTCACCCTTCAAAGACTGTCCAGTTATTCCAGTATGGGTAGAAATCAAAAACATTCCTTTACATCTTAGTGATCAAATTCCTCTATACTCCATAGCTTCAGCACTGGGAAAACCACTGAAACTGGGCAGGAAAACAGCCATGGGAATCTATCCGGGCAGTGCTAAAGTCTGTGTAGAAATGGATGTCTCCATTTCCAAACCTCCTAAGATTCATCTTAGACATGGCACAAGAGACCTATGGCTACCTTGCTCATATGAAGATCATCCCCCTTTCTGTTCAAAATGCCTAAGGTTTGGTCACCAGCTTTTCCATTGCCGGAAACTCTCATCTCATGCAGAATTGTTGGGGCCCTCAGGAGCGGGAGGTTCAAAGCAAGTATGGAAAATGGTCATGCGGAAGGTTCCAAAACCCAGTGATGATTTGAGGCTTAAGGCCCCCACCCCTGGTAAGCATCTCCAAAACCCAGTCCTTTTCAATCCTCCACAAATACCTCAATCCAAATCATCTTCTGGCACTGAACAACCCACTACCTCCTTGGATGTATGCTCCCAACCCCTACCCTCGGTGGCAGACACCCTAGCCTCAGATTCCCCTCTTCAGGAGCCCTCCTCTTTTTCCAGCCCCAAAAATTACCCTTTTACCTCCACTAAAACCCTTGGACCCCACTCACCCCCTTCCACCTTCCCTCCAGATCTCTCCTTTCTTTACCCCTCTGTTCAGAACCAGTGCAAGGAAATAATTCCCTTCAAGCCAACACAGTGCCAGCCCCCATTATGAGGAAGTAAAGATGACCTGCATATCTCCCCCATCTCCTGGGAACCTGAGGATGAAGAGGATGAAATCATTTCACCTGTTGGTTACCACTCAGATGGAGGTCCTGTTATTGCACAGGAAACCCCCATCACTCCTCTTGAGGTGGACATCTCACTTTGCTCCAAAGTCTCAATGCCTTTACAAAGGCCTGAACATTTTGCTGGCTATGCCACAAGGAGCAAAACAAGAAAGGATGTACCTCCCAACCCCCCTTCATGAAGCTTCTGTTTTGGAATGCCTGTTGGGTAAGCTCCTCCCTCAGCACGCTCATTTTCCTTAAGAGGAAGCACAACCTTCATTTTATTTGCATCATTGAACCCATAAATAATGCTAGTCAGTTAGATACCTTCAGGCTCCATTTTGGTTTTTCTAATGCCATCAGCTCCACAAATAATAAGAGATGGATATTTTGGGATGACAGCCACCTCTCACTCACTTCCTTCCAAGATCACAGCCAAGTTTCCCACAGTTTCTTCCACCAAACAAAAAGCCAAACCCCTCTTCTCATCTCATCTGTCTATGCAGCCCATACAGTCCTTGAAAGAAGAGAGCTTTGGGATAACCTCCAAGACAAGAGCAATATCACTCACCAATGGATTATAGGGGGGGGATTTTAACACAATAGCCTCTCTCTCCGAGTTCAAAGGTAAATGCACCCCTAGCTCTCAAGGTATGGAGGATTTCTCAGAATGCATCTCTCAATGCAAACTAGTCTCCATTGACCCTATAGGTGGTTTATACACTTGGTCTGGTGTTAGAAGCCAAGGCAGAACTTGGAGAAGACTGGACAGAGTTCTGGCTAACATTCCACTCCTTGCCTTTTATGATGAAGTCTCCCTTAAGCATTTGTCCAAATCCACCTCTGACCATAAACCTCTCCTCGTTCATTGCAGTAAAGTTTTACCTTCAGGTCCCAAACCTTTTAGATTCCTGAATGCCTGGACACTACATGACTCTTTTCATTCCATGGTAAAACACACTTGGGAAAATCTGCCAACTACAGGAGGTATGAGAGGTCTGGCAAATAAACTCATTAGCCTTAAAGCAGCACTCAAAATTTGGAATCAGGAAGTTTTTGGAAACATTTTCTCCAAACTTCAATATGCAGAGGAACTTTCTTTTCAAACAGAAACTGAATACGAGGCTAATCCAACCCAAGAGAATAGGGAAAGAATGCAGAAAGCCAATGCTGAGCTCATCCTTGCAACCAAGTTGGAGGTACAATACTGGAAACAGAAGGCAAACATCAGATGGTTAGTAAAGGGAGACTCCAATTCCAAAATTTTTCAAGCATATGCCAAGGGGAAGAGAAAGAAACTCTCCATATCTCACATCATCAAACCCAATGGCACAGGCACAAAAAATCTCACAGAAATCAAAGCTGAAGCCATATCCTACTTTGAAAATACTTTCAGGAAATCTCACTCCCCCTCTTATGATCCAATTATCTCTCTTATCTCACAGATTATTACAGTAGAAGACAACACCTTTTTTTGTGCCACTCCGTCCATGGAAGAGGAACAAAAGGCAGTCTGGGATTTGGATGGGAATAGCGCTGGAGGGCCTGATAGTTTCAATGGAAACTTTTTCAAAGCTGCCTAGGAGACAATTAAGTAGGATGTTTTGATAGCTTCTCATGATTTCTTCATGGGGCAACATATTCCAAAAGCTTATGGAAGCACCTTCCTAACCCTCATTCCTAAAACAGAAAACCCAAAGAGATTTGAGGACTATAGACCAATCTCCTTGTCCACTTTCATGAGCAAGATTAATACAAAGATCCTGGCCAACAGGCTAAACACCCTCCTACCCAAACTGATCTCCAAGGAGCAAGCAGCATTTCAAAAGGGTAAATCAATTGATGATCACATCCTCATGACACAGGACGCAGTTCACCTTTTGGATAAAAAAGTGTATGGAGGTAATCTAATCATCAAATTGGACATGGAAAAAGCTTTTGATAAACTTGACTCGGAATACTTAGAGGCCCTACTTTTGAGATTTGGATTCAACAGTCTATCAACTTCCCTCTTAATGGCCAACTTAAAAGGGACGTTCTTCAGTATACTCATCAATGGAGAGCCATCTTGATTTTTCAAAATGGAGAGGGGGGTAAAACAAGGAGATCCACTCTCACCCCTCCTTTTCATCCTAGCAGCAGAAGGTTTTAGTAGAATCATCAATATGCAGATGGATACTAACCACCTGCTCAGATTCAACTCAGGCCAGGTCCTATTTCCTTCCCACCTTATTTATGCTGATGACATTATAATCTTTTCCAGGGGAGACAATAGAAATCTGCTCAAACTCAAGGTCACTCTAGATATATACCTCAAGGCTACTGGGCAAGAGATCAACCTTAACAAGAGCAGATTCTACACATCAAAGCACACAACCAGCTCCCAAAATCAACACATGGAGAAGGCTCTAGGAATTAAAAGAGGGAACCTACCTTTTACCTATCTCGGAGCTCCTATCTGTAAAGGGATACTGAGAAAAGAGCGCTGCAAAGATATCTTGGGACATTTTGAAAAACTTATTCACTCATGGTAAAGCAAGACTCTGAACCAGATGGGTAGACTTATACTAATAAAACATGTTTTCTCTTCAATCCCATTACATACCCTTGCTGTCCACACCATTCCCAAATCAAACATTCACACCCTCAACAGATACATGGCCAACTTTTTGTGGGGACAAAAGGAAGGATCCCATAAACACCACTGGGTTAGATGGGCACAAATAACAAAACCTGAGGTAGAGGGAGGGCTGGGGATCAAAAGCTTAAAGGACCTACAACAAGCATACACTCTTAAACTTTGGTGGAAGGCAAGAAATGACATTGGGATATGGGGGCCCTATGTGAGAGCCAGGTATATGAAAACAGGAATCATAAAGGAAAGGATCACTGACTCTCCAACATGGAAAAGGATTTGCAGATCTAATGATCTGGCAACATCACATACCACCACTACTAGTTCAGGCATGCTTTCGGAAGGAGGAAACTTCAGCCTCAAGAGTGCTTTCAACATGGTCCAGGGAAGTGGGACAAACATTTTATCCTGTAAATACATTTGGCACAACTCAAACATCCCAAAAATCAAGATCTTCTTGTGGAGACTCCTAAACAGTGCCCTTCCTTTCCCTAAAAACCTATGCCGTTTCATGGCAGCCCTTCCCAGTTTCTGTCCTCTTTGCCATAAAGATAACGATGACATTGATCACTCCATGCTCCACTGTCCAACTGCAAAAGAGGTATGGAACTTCATGGCTTCCATTTCCAACGGCCCAAGGGTTAAGGAGAACACAACATTACGTCAACATCTTCTTGCATGGTGGTTTGGTAGCAACACCAAACACTTCAGAGGTAACCTACGTCTCTTCTCCCCAAGCCTCTGCACTTGGTCCCTGTGGAAGGCACGTAACTCTTATATTCATAACACAGCTAAACCAACAGTGGAGGGTATTATTAATACATGCCTCAAAACTCTCCAAGCTTGGGCATGGATAAACAAGAACAAAAAATGGATGGCTCATGACGACGACTTCAAAGGCATGGGATTAGATTCCTTCTGGCGAAATGGTCGTAGAATATTATCTAAATCCTTTGTATAAGTTGGTTGTTTTCTTCTTGTATTACCCTTCGGGGCCACTTGTATCCTCTTTCTCCTTTTCCTTTAATAAAATCATATATATATATATATATATATATATATATATATATATATATATATATATATATATATATATATATATATATATATATATATATATATATATATATATATATATATATATATATATATAACAATGAAAATGAGGAGAGAGGTCGGATTTCTCTGGTTTTTCGGTAAATACTCCGGCCAGTTCTCACTATAACACGAAAAATCTCAAACTCCCTCATAATCATTCATCATATTCTTCATCAACAGGTACATAGAAACTATTCTCTGAACTTTTCAAAGATGGAAACAATCACTTGGGAAAAGTGGAAGTAATGTTTAAAAACATGCCATCTGCTGCATTCACTTTGGAAGAAGAAAGACCCTGCATTGACTCGAACATGAAGTAGTCCGAACCCGAAGTAACCTGAAATTTTTAAAAATGAAGTCATGAGTTGTTGGGCCAACCCAGAGTCTGAGGCCCAATTATAAGAGGAGGTTGTGGTGTTAATATTCTTTACCTTACATCTTATTCAAGTGAATATGATGATCTTGCAAAATATTCAACTAAGCAAACCATTTGAACACAACACCAATGGAAAATCTTCAAAGAAAAACTGTAGTTTTAATATTTTAAAAAAATCACACTTTGAACTGTTTGCTAATGAGTCAAATGAAGAGTCCACTTTTTAAAAAGGAAAAAAATAATATTAAAGAACACACCTTTTGTTTTTCAAAACCCACAAACCCTGGCACACTAGGCAATAGATGTTCTAACACTGTCATGGCTGCAAACATGCCCACTGGGATGTATTCCTTGCCAAATTACAACTAAGATCAATTAGCCACCAAAATGTCCTAAACCATGAACAAAGCTCACTCGGAATGGAATAACTTTTACATGAGGAACCATATACAACCTACCACTGCATTTTTTTCTTTTTATTTATATACCAGAGTGCAGTAGTATAAATTATGAACTTTCATTAATGAAGGGCATATCGAAGCAAAATCCAAAGCTGCAGCATGAGTTCTCGTAGAATCCATTTCTCACTTCCAAAACCTATAAACATGAGGAATCATAAATCAAAGTTAAAAGATATGGTTACTATTAATTGGAAGACATATAAATAAATTAACAGTTATAAAAATGCTAATAGGTCATGTGGTATACTATACAAAATTAGACCTGTATACTGTGGGCTATAAGATTCCATAAGGTCAATTCTTACTCATATTTTCATTTCTCTTTAATATTATTATCTTAATCTCCCCCTAAATAAAATTCACTTATAACATTCACACATTAAATGATTAAAAGGGGTAGTAGTAGTTGCAGGACTGTAAAAAAAAGTAGTAGGAGTGATCTCCGTCCATTCAGCTTCAATTACACAAAATAGGGCCGGCAATATATTGACAATTAGTTAAAAGTACGGGGCAATCTTGATTCTTGGCTGGATTGCATTTTTGCAATTTGTCTAATTAGGGGTATTGATTTGCAATTCAATCAATAAGGGGTGCTGAAAGAACAAATATGATCTCACAATCTAACCAGCAATCCTAATAACCTTGGAAAGAATAAGCAATCAAAATATCAGCCCTATTTGTTTAACTAAAAGCTAGGCGCGGAACAATAGATGCAGATATGAGAGACGAAAGAATTGTAAAGCAACACAAAGAAAGAGTGCAGATATGAATCCCCCAATGATTGATTAAAAGGCTAAGGTGCAGTAGGGCTTTAGCTTAGTTGAGAATGATGAGATGATATTTTTTCCTCAAAATTCTTGAAATAGGAAACTAATCAGATTGGATTTATATTTCTGAAGAGTGAACAACAAAGGTCATAAAGAAGAAGATAATACCTGATGGGTTAGGCAGAGTTGCTCTATAGATGCACCATGACTGGTGAACGGGCGCAAACTTGTCAATGTGCATCCAAAATTGAATCTGGAATGTTTCATCTTCATACTGGCTCATTCGTGCACAATGGGTTTGGCTAATTCTGAGGGTCAACGGATGGGTTCCGGAAGCTGCTCACCGGAATCGATACTTGATGAGCCGGTTTCTTGAACTTCTCCGGTCGCATAGGAGAATAGGCGACGGTTAAAGCATATGAAACGGCGTATTTGGGTGGCGTCTGATTTTCAAGGCCGAATGTGAAACGCTCTTGTAAACACTAAATCCACCTCAATGGCATGTCACCTCCATCTCACCTTCCACGTGTCACCCTCACAATGAAATAACCCTACTTTATTTTCTATTTTGTGAATGTATACTTGGTGGCCAAACTATATGAATACTCTAAGGCATAATGTGTAGTTAGAAGAAATATTCAATTTTTAGGTCTCTTATGTCATTTTTTTGAATTGTGGATTTCAGATAGATAATAGTGTTTTAAAGTACATTTTTAAAAGCATTCTTTTTTTAATAAAGACAGGTAGAAGGGTAGAGGAGTTAACGATCCAACCGATGTTTGTTAAGGGAAAAACCCGATGTCTGTTAGGGGAAACGGGAAAAAGTAAAAGGAAAAAAATTTAAACACTATAACGAAGTCCTTGGTTTGAACGACATTGGAACACTATAACGAAGTCCTTGCTTTAAAAACTTATTCGGTCATTCGCTAATCTCGTGGTTTAGTAAGAAGTAGGTTAGTGTTGCACTTTCCACCACCGAAGCGGAATATGTTGCTGCGGGAAGTTGTTGTGCCCAAATTCTTTGGCTAAAACAACAACTAGTGGATTTCGGCCTTATACTTGATCACATCCCTATTAGGTGTGACAATATGAGCGCTATTAGTCTAATGAAGAACCCCGTTCTTCACTCGAGGACTATGCACATAGAAATTAGGCATCACTTCATACAAGATCACGTCCAAAAGGGAGATGTCACAATTGAGTTTGTTGAAACGAAACATCAATTGGCAGACATTTTCACGAAACCCCTTAATAGGGAGAGTTTCTTCCATATTCGGAACGAACTTGGAATTTTGGATATCTCTATGAACTAATCCATTCTTTTTATTGACTATACTAATTTGAGCGTCGGAGGCATGATAAATTCTTTTTTTGCAGGTATCTCTTCCCTTGGTATTTAACCGAATTGGACTTGATGATTTTATTGTCAAACAAGTTTTAATCAATTACTCCTCGAAGAGAAATCGATTAGTCACCTCTGTCCCTATTAATCGATTACTAGATTCCTTTTAATCGATTAAAATCCGAAAACGTCTTTAGCGCTGATTCACTTTTAAATCGATTAATTTTGTTCAATTAATCGATTAGACTCATCTGTCCATATTAATCGATTAACCATCTCTGTTTAATCGATTAATAGCTTGAAAAGAGACGTTTGGTTCTGCTTACTTCTAATCGATTAATAATGTAACGCCCCGAAAATAGGCCTATCAGAATTAATTAATTAATAATTAATTAATTACTGAGAAGGACCCAAAAATATGTGAATTATAAAGTTGGTCAATAAATAATAAAAATTTTATCATTATGTAGAGTTTGACTGTCCGATTCCAACGGTTTAATCGGATTTCAATTCGGAGAAAGTTGGACCAAAAAGTGTTCCCCGACTAGGACCAAATTAGTCCCAATCAGGGACTTACGTATAAAATCTGTCGGAGCCGCAGCCCCCTCCACTGAGACGCCAAAACAGTGTTAGGGAGGTCATCTCCCATGGCTTCTTCCCCTTCCTCCTTCTTATATAAACTCTCCAATTTCTCACCATTCTTCACCGTTCTTCTTCCAAAGGATAGCTGAGAGTG